TGGGATAGTTGAGATAAAATCTTGAAAATTTCCCCCATTTTCGAGATATTTGAGGTAAAATCTTGGAATTCTTTCCCATTTTTGGGATATTTGAGGTAGAACCTTGGAGTTCTTTCCCATTTTCGGGATATTTGGGATAAAACCTTGGAATTCTTTCCCATTTTTGGGATAGTTGAGATAAAATCTTGAAAATTTCCCCCATTTTCGAGACATTTGAGGTAAAATCTTGGAATTCTTTCCCATTTTTGGGATAGTTGAGATAAAATCTTGAAAATTTCCCCCATTTTCGAGACATTTGAGGTAAAATCTTGGAGTTCTTTCCCATTTTCGGGATATTTGGGATAAAACCTTGGAATTTTTTCCCTTTCCAGGCCCTGGACAGGTTTTTGTTATTGGTGAACCAGGAGGGTTGGATCGCGTTCGTGTCGGAGAACGTGATGGGATATTTGCGATAAAACCTTGGATTTTTTTCCCCCATTTTTGCGATATTTGGGAAAAAAACCTTGGAATTCTTTCAGATTTTGGAGATATTTGAGATAAAACCTTGGAATTTTTTCCCTTTCCAGACCCTGGACAGGTTTTTGTTATTGGTGAACCAGGAGGGTTGGATCGCGTTCGTGTCAGAGAACGTGACGGGAAATTTGGGCTGAAACCTTGGAATTCTTTTCCTGATTTTGTGATATTTGAAATAAAACCTTGGAATTCTTTCCCATTTTGTGATATTTGAGATAAAACCTTGGAATTCTTTTGTGTTCCAAGCCCTGGATGGATTTTTCTTCATGTTCAACCAGGAGGATTGGATCGCGTTCGTGCTGGAGAACATGACGGGATATTTGCAATAAAACCTTGGAATTCTTGCCTATTTTTGTGATATTTAGGATAAAACCTTGAAATTTTTCCCTGTTTTCAGGATATTTGGGATAAAACCTTGGAATTTTTCCCGTTTCCAGACTCTGGACGGGTTCTTCTCGTGGTGAACCGCGAGGGGCGCATCGTGTTCGTGTCGGAGAACATGATGGGATATTTGCAATAAAATCTTGGAATTCTTGCCTGTTTTTGTGATATTTAGGATTAAACCTTGGAGTTTTTCCCGTTTTTGTGATATTTAGGATAAAACCTTGGAATTTTTTGCGTCTTTGGGATATTTGGGATAAAACCTTGGAATTTTTCCCGTTTCCAGACTCTGGACGGGTTCTTCTTTGTGGTGAACCGCGAGGGGCGCATCGTGTTCGTGTCGGAGAACATGACGGGATATTGCAATAAAACCTTGGAATTCTTTCCCATTTTTGGAATATTTGTGATAAAACCTTGGCATTTTTCCCATTTCCAGGCTCTGGACGGGTTCTTCTTTGTGGTGAACTGTGAGGGGCGCATCGTGTTTGTGTCAGAGAACGTGATGGGATATTTGGGATAAAACCTTGCATTTTTTCCCTGTTTTCAGGATATTTAGGATAAAACCTTGGAATTCTTGCCCGTTTTTGTGATATTTGGGATACAAACGTTGGAATTTTTTCTTGGTTTTGGGATAAAACCTTGGAATTTTTCCTGTTTCCAGGCTCTAGATGTGTTCTTCTTCGTGGTGAACCATGAGGGGCGCATCGTGTTTGTGTCGGAGAACGTGATGGGATATTGCGATAAAACCTTGGAATTCTTGCCCGTTTTTGTGATATTTGGGATAAAACCTTGGAATTTCTCCCGTTTTTGGGATATTTGGGATAAAACCTTGGAATTTTTCCCGTTTCCAGGCTCTGGACGGGTTCTTCTTTGTGGTGGACCGCGAGGGGCGCATCGTGTTCGTGTCGGAGAACGTGACGGGATATTTGCGATAAAACCTTGGAGTTTTTTCCCGTTTTTGGGATAAAACCTTGGAATTTTTCCCGTTTCCAGGCTCTAGATGGGTTCTTCTTCGTGGTGAACCGCGAGGGCCGCATCGTGTTCGTGTCGGAGAACGTGACGGGCTACCTGGGCTACGGGCAGGAGGAGCTGATGAACTCCAGCGTGTACAGCATCCTGCACGTGGGCGCCCATGCCGAGTTCGTCAAGAACCTGCTCCCCAAATCCCTGGGTACGGCACACCCCGCGAAATCCGGGAGAATGGCGGGAAATTCGGGGAAATTTGGGAAAATCCGGGGAAATTTGGGAATGGAGGCAGGGATTGGGGGTGGGTGGGTCGTTAATTTTTAAAATTTATTGAAGTTTTATTTTATATTTATTTATATATTTATTTTTATCTCTATGTATATTTTATTTATTTTTATTTTTTGTTTAATTTAATTTTTTAATTTATATTTCATTATTTTTGTGTTTATTTATTTATATTATTATTCGTTATTTTCATTTTTTTTTATTGTATGCTTATTATCTTCGGCAATTCCATGTGGATTGTTCCCATCACAGTTCCTCGAATCCCAGAGATCTTTGGGAATTCCACAATTCCATGATTAGGGATCACTCCCACGTCCCCAATTCCCGTTTTTCCCTGTTTTTCCCAGTGAACGGGGTGCCGTGGCCGCAGGAGCCGGCGCGGCGCGGCAGCCACACCTTCCAGTGCCGGATGCTGGTGCGGCCGCCGGACGAGGCGGGCGCGGAGCAGGCGGAGCTGCGGCAGCGCTACGAGGCCATGCAGTGCTTCACCGTCAGCCAGCCCCGCGCCTTCCAGGAGGAGGGGGAAGGTGGGCAGCATTCCTGGGAATCTGGGGTTTGGGATTTGGGATTGGGATTGGGATTGGGGTTGGGGGCTCGGAGGCCATGCAGTGCTTCACCGTCAGCCAGCCCCGCGCCTTCCAGGAGGAGGGGGAAGGTGGGGAAACATCCCTAGGGATTTGGGATCTTAGGATTTGGGATTGGGGTGCGATTGGGATGGGGTTGGGGTCAGATTGGGATGGGATTGGGATTGGGATTGGGGTTGGGGTTGGGAAGGGATTGGGGTGCGATTGGGGTTGGCATTGGGATTGGGTTGGAGTTGGCGACTGCGTTCACCGTCAGCCAGCCCCGCGCCTTCCAGGAGGAGGGGGAAGGTGGGGAACATTCCCGGGAATCTGGGGTTTGGGATTTGGGATTGGGATTGGGATTGGGATTTGGGTTGGGATGGGGTTGGGTTTGGGATTGGGGGCTCGGAGGCCATGCAGTGCTTCACCGTCAGCCAGCCCCGCGCCTTCCAGGAGGAGGGGGAAGGTGGGGAACATTCCCGGGAATCTGGGGTTTGGCATTTGGGATTGGGATTTGGATTGGGGGCTCCGAGGCCATGCAGTGCTTCACCGTCAGCCAGCCCCGCGCCTTCCAGGAGGAGGGCGAAGGTGGGGGAACATCCCTGGGGATCTGGAATTTGGGATGGGCTTGGGATTGGGGTTGGGATGCGATTGGCATGGGGTTGGGGTCAGATTGGGAAGGGATTGGGGTTGGGGTTGGGAAGGGATTGGGATTGGGATTGGGGTTGGGGTTGGGGACTGCGTTCACCGTCAGCCAGCCCCGCGCCTTCCAGGAGGAGGGGGAAGGTGGGGAAACATTGCCGGGGGATCTGGGATTTAGGATTTGGGATTGGGGTGCGATTGGGATGGGGTTGGGGTCAGATTGGGATAGGATTGGAATTGGGATTGGGGTTGGGGTTGGGAAGGGATTGGGGTGCGATTGGGGTTGGCATTGGGATTGGGTTGGAGTTGGCGACTGCGTTCACCGTCAGCCAGCCCCGCGCCTTGTAGGAGGAGGGGGAAGGTTGGGGAACATCCCTGGGGATTTGGGATTTGGGATTGGGATTGGGGGCTTTTGGGAAGGGATTGGGGTTGGGGTTGGGAAGGGATTGGGATTGGGATTGGGGTTGGGGTTGGGGACTGCGTTCACCGTCAGCCAGCCCCGCGCCTTCCAGGAGGAGGGGGAAGGTGGGGAAACATTGCCGGGGGATCTGGGATTTAGGATTTGGGATTGGGGTGCGATTGGGATGGGGTTGGGGTCAGATTGGGATAGGATTGGAGTTGGGGTTGGGAAGGGATTGGGATTGGGATTGGGGTTGGGGTTGGGGACTGCGTTCACCGTCAGCCAGCCCCGCGCCTTCCAGGAGGAGGGGGAAGGTGGGGAACATTCCCGGGGATCTGGGATCTGGGATTTAGGATTGGGATTGGGCTTGGGTTTGGGGGCTCGGAGGCCATGCAGTGCTTCACCGTCAGCCAGCCCCGCGCCTTCCAGGTGGAGGGGGAAGGTGGGGCAGCATCCCTGGGGATTTGGGATGGGGTTGGGATTTGGGATGGGATTGGGGTTGGGGTCAGATTGGGAAGGGGTTGGGGTTGGAGTTGGCGACTGCGTTCACCGTCAGCCAGCCCCGCGCTTTCCAGGAGGAGGGAGAAGGTGGGGAAACATTCCCAGGAATCTGGGGTTTGGGATTTGGGATTTGGGATTTGGGATTGGGATTGGGGTGCGATTGGGGTTGGGATGGGATTGGGATTGGACTGGAGACTTTCCAGGAGGAGGGAGAAGGTGGGGAAACATTCCCAGGAATCTGGGGTTTGGGATTGGGATTGGGATTGGGATTGGGGTTGGGGTTGGGGTCAGATTGGGATTTGGATTGGGATGGGGTTGGAGTTGGGGTTGGAGCTGGGGACTACGTTCACCGTCAGCCAGCCCCGCACATTCCAGGAGGAGGGGGAAGGTGGGGCAACATTCCCGGGAATCTGGGGTTTGGGATCTGGGATTTGGAATTGGGATTGGATTGCAATGTGATTGAGATTGGGGTGGGATTGGGATGGGATTGGGATTGGGATGGGGCTGGGTTTGGGGTGGGATTGGGATAGGATGGAATGGGGTGGGATTGGTGTGGGATATGGGGTGGGGTGGGGAATGCAGGATTGGGATGGGAATGCAGGATTGGGATGGGGATTTGGGATTGGGATTAGGATTGGAATTGGGATGGGAATGCAGGATTGGGATTGGGATTGGGTTGGAGTTGGGGACTGCGTTCACCGTCAGCCAGCCCCGCGCCTTCCAGGAGGAGGGAGAAGGTTGGGGAACATCTCTGGGGATTTGGGATGGGATTGGGATTGGGGTGGGATTGAGTTGGGGTTGGGGTCAGATTGGGATTGGGATTGGGATTGGGATGGGGATGGGGTTGGGGTGGGATTGGGATAGGATGGAATGGGGTGGGATTGGTGTGGGATATGGGGTGGGGTGGGGAATGCAGGATTGGGATGGGAATGCAGGATTGGGATGGGGATTTGGGATTGGGATTAGGATTGGAATTGGGATGGGAATGCAGGCTCAGGGTTGGGGCTGGGGACAGGGACAGGGCCGGATCCTTCGTCGCTCTCCCACTCCAGGTCGCTTTTCCCTGTCCCACCACATTCCCGGGAAGAATCCCGCAATTCCCGCAGGAATTCCCACCCGGAAGGGCCAAATCCCGCTGTTTGAGGACCAAATCCCAACAACCCCTGGAATTCCATTATCCCAACCCCGCCACATCCCAGAACCCTCCCCAGTCAACCCCCCCAAGCTTTTCCCTGGGAATTCCAGGGAATTCAACCCCATTTCCTCGGCAGGGATAGAGAATCCCTCCAGGAAAACACTTCCAGGGCCGGGAACAAAATCCAGGAGCGAGGTTTGAGCTCAAACCCCGGGCCGGCTCCGGCATTCCCGGTGTTTTTCCCGGTGTTTTTCCCAGATTTCCAGTCGTGTCTGATCTGCATCGCCCGGAGGTTGCCGCGCCCGGCCGCCCCGGCCCCCACCGAGTCCTTCGTCACCAAGCAGGACACCACAGGTACATCCCGCGCCATTCCCGGGAATTCTGCCCCAAATCCCGGGATTCTGGGGCTCCGGAGGTTGTTGTGGCAAGGAGAGGTGGGAATGGTGGAATTCTGGAATGGTTTGGGTGGGATTCGTGGAGCTTCGGTCCCATCCTGGTCCAATCCCAGTCCCAGGGAGATCCAGCCTTTCCTTGGACACTCCCGGGGATTCTCTGGGAATTCCAGCCCAGCCGGGAATTCCTTCCCAAATTCCTCCCCTTTCCCAGGGAATTCCCTCCATTCCCAGCTCTCCCAGCCTGCCATTGGATCCATCCCCATCCTGAATCCTCTCCGGGAAGGAATTTCGGGAACTCCCTTGGAATTCAGGACTCCCTTCCCTTTTCCATCCCCATATTCCATAAAAATCCCTGGGGATGGATCCTGAGTGTCCTGGATCCCAGAATCCCGGAATGGTTTGGGATGGGATCCATGGAGCTTCAATCCCATCCCATTCCCAGCCCACAATTCTGGGATTTTCCAGCCTTTCCTTGGACACTCCCAGGGATTCTCTGGGAATTCCAGCCCAGCCGGGAATTCCTTCCCAAATTCCTCCCCTTTTCCCAGGGACTTCCCTCCATTCCCAGCTCTCCCAGCCTGCCATTGGATCCATCCCCATCCTGACTCCTCTCTGGGAAGGAATTTCGGGAACTCCCTTGGAATTCAGGACTCCCTTCCCTTTTCCATCCCCAAGTCCCATAAAAATCCCTGGGGATGGATCCTGAGTGTCCTGGATCCCAGAATCCCGGAATGGTTTGGGATGGGATCCATGGAGCTTCAATCCCATCCCATTCCCAGCCCACAATTCTGGGATTTTCCAGCCTTTCCTTGGACACTCCCAGGGATTCTCTGGGAATTCCAGCCCAGCCGGGAATTCCTTCCCAAATTCGTCCCCTTTTCCCAGAGAATTTCTCCATTCCCAGCTTTCCCAGCCTGCCATTGGATCCATCCCCATCCTGACTCCCCTCCAGGAAGGAATTTCAGGAATTCCTTTGGAATCTCAGGGATCTCCCTTCCCTTTCCCATCCCTGAATTCCATAAAAATCCCTGGGGATGGATTATTGATCCATCCCGGATCCCAGAATCCCGGAATAGTTTGGGATGAATTCCATAAAAATCCCTGGGGATGGATTTTGATCCATCCCGGATCCCAGAATCCCGGAAT